TATTTTAACAGTTTTCACTGTTGGGTGAGAGAGGCGGTCTTGGCTGACATGATTTGTGTGATGGAACTCGTCGTAGGAGAACGAAACGTTGACAATAGATTGTCCTTGGGTAGGATAACATTCACTGAAAATATGAAAAGATTTGGTTGAATTCTCACAGCAGTAGAGCTTTCTACTTCTGAACATTTTTTAGACGATTTTTGGTCATTTTTGCAAAAAAAACAAAGACGGGTGGTGAAATCCCCCCAGTTTGACCAAATTTCCTTAAACTTAGACTGAAGTAGTTTTGGGTGGACCCCTTTAAACTGGCAAAGTTTCATTGAAATCGGTGAGATGGCATGTGCCACCCCCGCCTGGTCCTATCGTGGATGCACTCTTAATGGCAATTTTGCTACCTATAAAAACAGAGTTGTCTGTAAACTGGTTAAAAATGTAAGAATGTTCTTGCTTTTCTCTCGTCCATGAACTGTTTCATGAACAAAACTGTCAGTTGCATGACTTCACTTCTGCCAGTTGATGGATTTTGCTGCTATTAGTTTTTAAAATTAAGTATAAGATTAGTGGGGAAAAAATATAAGAATAATTGGTATTTGGAAAGATGGCATAAAGTGACTCTGAGGGTCTGTCCAGGGGCTTTATATGAAGTCATGATGATGAAAAATATCCTTTTGACCAACTCTGGCTTATTTACGTCAATATAGTTAATACACCCATCAGCCACAACATTAAGACCACTGCCAGGTGAGCATTGATCTTCTCGTTACCATACAACGGTCTACCGGGAAACCTTGGCTCCTGGCATTCATGCAGGTGTTATTTTGTACCTCAACAATGCTGCAGACCACAAGACAAGTGTCCTCGTTCCATATTGTCCTGCTGGAAGAGGACAATGGAGCCACAGCGAAGAGCCCACAGGCGCTGACCCGACCTCCAGACTCCCAGACTCCCCAGATCCCAATCCAATTGAGCGTCTGCAAGATGCACCAGAACGAGCCGGTTCCACACGGGCCACAACACACAGGACCCAAAGGAACCACTGCAAACGTCCTGCTGCCAGACATGACAGAACCCCCCAGAGCGTCTGTGTTCACGCATGATGGGTCAGCATGAGGCGGACATGCACAGTGTCAGACGGGCGGTTTTAATGTTGTGGATGATGTATTTATCGTCCGCAGCCACTGGGACTGGGATGGTTTCTTTACCAGCACTGCTACAAGGAGAAAAGAAAACACGGAATCATATAGTTCAAGTTGTGTTTGGAAAATCTCACTT